TCAGGAACGCAGGGACAAGTGGATAACGTGGATATAGGCGCAGGTGGAGTGTGTGGAGATTTGTAAGGTGACGCAGATGTATGTGGAAGGCTCTGGGCTGTCGTGACGAATATGGCTAGAATGGTGCTGACACTGTCAAGAAAGTGGGAGCGGGCATTGGGAAGAACACCACTGCACATATCTGCGTATCATATGCGTGCTTCACGCTCTGTCCCTGCCATGAGTGGCTCATATTCGTTATGTTCTGTGACAGACTGTTGCATCTTTTTTAAGGGAGACACGCGACAGAGCGTACAGTATATTTTTAAGAGGAGAGCACAGTAAATTATGCGGACATGGTGCAGTACCGATGCGAGAATCACGCAGGGAATTGAGTGGTTGAATTGATTGAATCACGGGCCGAAGGACTCCTTCGGTCGCAATTGCGGAGTGAGCAACGTGGATAATTCGCAAGAATATGAAGCGATGCCCAATGAGACAGGGATTGAAGGCAGAATATTTCTGAAAATTCGGTGACGTGCCGTGCCAGATTCGGCGGGATGCGTAGCCATAGACGGCCGCCACGCGCGGGCGCTTGGCGAAGCACAATGTTCGGAGGGTGGAGACTGGCCGAAATCAGGGGATTAGGCATAATGATTGAGGACGAGGTGATGGACATGGTACCACACCTATCGCAACATCCAATCAATGCCCCCTACATACGAGACCCAGGGTGGAAAAAAAAATTCTTTGCTCCACTCTGCTCTTTCTTCCACCCCCTCCCTTCCTCACATCCCCATCCGTGTCCACCCATGTCACGTCGGCCGTATCGCACAACTACAGGGCACATACCGTCCCCTTCTTCATCACCCTCGCCTGCAGTCCCTCCGCCTCCCTGACCCATCCGTCACCATATTCTTCCCCCCCCCCCCCCCTCCTCTACATCCGCCTTTGGCATGGCACTTTATAAACCCAAGTTCGCCGCTTGAAGTTGCCCAGGCGCCCATTCACCCCCACTCCGACTGCCGTACCACCGCATCCCCGACCATTCAACGTTATGCTCAATCTGTTTTCCCTTTGATTCTGCTATGACTGTCTTCACCAAGCCCATCCCCGGAATGGAAACCCCGGGCTCCATCTCAGACACCAATGGCGTATCAACCTCACTCCGCCCGCCCGCCCCTACCGTCCCCAACATGAGTAAGAAGACGTATCCTGCCAAGTCCGCGGGCCCCTACTTCCCAATCCCCCGCCCCCTCACCACCACACTCCTTCGCATCGTCCCCGGAGACCCTTCCAACGTCTCCCCGGCTATCCACTTTCTCCGCAATGATATGCCGCCCGTCCTCGACTCTACCACCATGACCCTTCATGCCACCGTGGACGACCAGTCTGCCTCTGTTCTACTTCCACTTCTTACGACGGACCCCATCCCCGTTGAATGGTTCGACTTCTGCCTCGACCACCTCTCTACCTCCTTCCTCGAACTCACCCTAACTATGACCGATCACGACCGCTCCCAAACCTCCCTACTCGGCCGTTCCGTTCTTGTCGCATCCGACTTCGCTTCTCGTAGAGGACTCATTCATCCGCTTCTACTGGACTCCACGGGCCTCCCGGTGGCCAGGGCCACCCTCGACTTCATCGTCATCACGCCCCAGCCCGCGGGTGCCCCGCTCGCCTCTGTGCGAAATGGCCCGCCGCGGTTTACCGGCCATCGGGGCATGGGCTCCTCGGGCCCCGCCTTTCCCTGGAGGTCGATAGAAAATCTCCCTGAATCGTTTTTGTTGGCCGCCCTCTGCGATTCCAAAGTCACTACAGTTGAACTTGATGTCCAGCTCTCTCGTGACGGACGCACCATCGTCTATCATGATTGGTACTTCAGACCGGATGGATCTCGTGACAAAGATGCCTCAAAGTCTTCCTTGAGAGTTCCTTTGAACCACCTCACGTTTGATGAGATGGACAACCTTTTTCGCTCCATGCTTCACAAGGGCGATCATTCCGTGGATAGAAATAAGCATCTCTTGAGAGAAGCCCTCCAGAAGAGAGATGATGTTTCCGATGACGTCTTATCCACAAAGATCTGGTCCTTGACGGATGTCTGCGAAGTTTTGCCGGAAGAGATTGGACTGCTTGTCGAAGTCAAATTTCCATCAAGCGGTGTCTTGGAAGAATCGCCAGTACCTTTCCCCGAAAAGAATTTCTTCGCCGATTGCGTCTTGAAGGACATTTTCAAAGTCTCGAGAAACCGCAGGCGCGAAATCAGCTTCCTCACTTTCAATGCCGATCTCGCTATGATGTTGTCCATGAAGCAAACGCTCTACCCTGTGTACTTGTCCCACTGCGAGGTCCTCGACAAGCCATGTGAAGAGCTCGACCCCCGTTGTATCGACCTTGATGAGGGCTTGAAGTTTGCGGTTTCTCAGAAACTTGATGGCATGATGATTCTCAACAAGCTTGTTGAAACGAAGCCGGAGGCCATTGAGCGCATTAAGGACCGTGGCTTGCCTATCATCACCTATGGAAGTCGCAACACAGACCCCGAATTCGTTCGACATCAGTTCCGCATGGGCATCAATGGTGTCATTGCCGATGACGTCAACGTACTCACAAAAGCCTTCCACATATGACGCTACCTCTGACATAAGTTTTCTTTTTTGTTTCATTTCATGCAGCCCCTAGGTTTCACACGTCGGGCTGTACTCAACGCTCTCTGTAGTTGATGCAGTATCACAGTACCCATTGTCACTGACGTACACTAAAGCGTAGAGAAACCATGAATGCGGTGTAGACCATTTGTGGTACGCTTTGTTTGCTGCGTGCTAGGAATGTGGCCAGCGCTACACCGAATTGAAGTGATCCGGGTGAAGCCGAGTAAATCGCTGCACACGACCGCATGACCATGCTCGAGCACTTGCTCAAGCGCCAAATCCCTAGAGTGGACGCCATATGTCGTATGACACCACCAACAAACCTACCGAACCAGTGGACCCCTCATCGTTTGTCCTCGCACACTGCACACAAATCGAGACACCGATTGTTGCGGCCCACCATACACTTGCACCTTTATCCGACATAGCTATAATGTCAGAGTTGAAGTCTTTGCAGCATACTTACACTCACCCTCTTCTGTGTCTAACGAATCATAGGCAGTCTGAGCTTCACTTCAAATTTTCCGCGCCAAGAAGACTACCTCTATTCTACAAATGACCCATCGAAGCCTCGGGTCTTTGAGATACGTGGCCGTTGCCCGCCCTCTCTCGTGAAATATCTACCATCCAAACTTTGAGTATGGTTGGCCTCACAAACTTTTTTGTAAGAACTAGAGCGAAACATTGTTGTGGGTACTTATTTGTCGTTTGCTCTAATATTCCGAATCTGGGCATATCGCTTCCCTTCAGCGAAGTGTCTTGGCTTGAGCACCGATCTTATCGATCAACTCTACGACTACTGCCGCGGTTTCCGATGATAGCGTTTCCATGCCAATATGTGTGTACCAATGGTGCACACATCCAATTTGGGTTTCAAGCTGGATTTCCCGTTCTTCAGCGACCTCATATGCCATTTTCATTACGAAGACTCGCCATTGGGGTATAACGAACTTAAGGCCCGTAGACTTTTCTCGAAAAAATGTCTCGAGCGTGTTGTCTTGACAAGTTGTCGCACACCTTGCGGACAACATTTCCGGCGATGTCCCCTGAGCAGCAATATCCCTTACAATTTTGCAACAGGATGTTGTCGTTGAAGAAGATCCTCAGATCTTCCTTTTTTTTTTTTCCTGCATCGGTTTTCACTTTAACATCACTCTCACTGACCGCCCTCTCTTGATTCTTGACTTTCATCTCTATCTTCTGCGATTTAACTCTCCATTCCTCTTCCACACACCCTCCGTTCGTACCGAGCACGGTCTCCAGCTCTGAGACGAACAGTTGTTTGCCCTTCTCGTCTCCGCCTTGTTGACTCTGTAGCACTATCGTTGGCGACCAATTCACGAACATCTCCTTTCGGTCCTAACACGCCAGATTCCATCTATGCAAAAGGGTTCTTCATGAACACTCATAGAAGAGTCCTCTCTGGATTCCGCCGTGATCCCCAGGCTGGTAGTAGGCAAGCTGTTCATCTCATAATGCAAAGGCATTCCTCGTTCTAAGGCAATCGCGGCATGGGTTCGCCGACTTGCCCCTTCCGTAGATAAAGGTGAGAACATCCGCGGGTCCGGTTGGCTAATTGCTCTGCAGAAGCTGGCGATAAGCTGTAGCGGGACTGCTGTGTCACCTCTGCAATGTAGTGGGGTGAATCCGTCAAGACGACGCGAGTAACTTATCCTCAGTTGATCTGCCCTGTCCCACCATTCACGGTGCTGCGCAAAAAGATAAGACCCCAGAAAGTAGGCGTAACGCAAATGTCTAGTGTTCATAGGACCATCGTCCTCATATGAGAACATTATTCGACCTATTTTATTCTTGACTTCCGCTTCCTCGACAAGAAAGAAAAAGATAACCGTGCCACCGTACATGACTTCTGACTTGGGGCCAGAAAGAACTTTTTGAGAATTGCTTGTTCTTCCTGGTTGTTTTTCGATATGTCTGGAAAAGAAGCTTTTTAAAACCTCTTAAAACCGCATGTAATACCACTTCGAAACCAAAAACGCCAGTTTAAAAAGGTAACTTGGTGCTCTCTCTGCCCCATTCTGCATTATTTTCTTATGCTTTCTGCGTATTCAAAGCTCTGCTACTTGTATCCCGAATTTCTGCAAGATGCTATTGCCGAAAACAAGCACGTTAAGGAAATAGTGCTTAAGGTAGCTTTTTGAATGTTCAATTTAATTTATATGTTTTTGCAAAAAAAGGAGGTGTCCTCATATGAGGTTACTTTTCAACTTATTTTTCGACTTTTGCTTGCTCCACAAGAGAGAGATTACGCCTGGGTATTTCTGCAATGATTTTTCCAAAATTCTGCAATACGTATTACAGTTGTAAATAGTTGCAGAATTCTGCAAATCACTCGTGACGTTAATTGCTGAATAGTGGGGTCTTACAGAATACCCAACTGCAATTGACGTGAGCAATTCCACGGGCATGCGCGCCAAAATAGGTAGGACTCGCCGCCATCGTCAACCCCTCAGGGCATGAGTCACTCACAAAATGAGTCACCAGCACCCCGATCCTCCCCCGATCCTCCCTCACCGCGCCATGGCTACAGTCATCATCGACACTCCGTCCAGCCCCAAGCCCACCGCCGATGCATCCAAGCTGGCCGCCGACACCACGCCTAGCAAGTCGAAGCCCGGCCGGCAGTCGCGCTTCTCGCCTAGCGAGGACCTCGTCGTTGTGCGTGAGGTCGCTGCGGCGAACGCGCACGTCGCCACGTACGGCGAAACGCAAGCGCGCTTCGAGCAGGCTGCCGGACGCTGTAACTCCAACGCCGTCGTTGTCGCCCCGGTCACCTGGAAGAGCGTGCGCGACCGCTACAAGCGGATCCAGGAGCAGTTCGACAAGGTGGACAACGCGAACCAGAAGATGTCGGGGGTTGGGGGTGACGTTGGGGAGATGGATGAGCTGCTCATGGAAATGCGGCAGAAGAGGGACGACATAGCAGCAGAGAAGACGGCCGACAAAGACGCGCAACGCCAGCGCGACGCTGAGAAGGAACGTATCGGGAACGCGCTGATGGTAGTTGCCACGAAGCGAAAGTCGGAGGAGACGATGGAGGTCCACAGTGATAGTGATGGCGAAGTGGCGGTTGGTCGACCTGCGAAGAAGTCAAAGACGCGAGCCGTTAGCAACATACCTGTAAACGGCCTTGCTTCGTTTGGGGTCAACCTTCGCGATGCTGACCTCGCGCGAATTGCCCTGGAGCGCGAGCGTCTGACCTTCGAGCGCGAACGCGCGGATACAGATAGGGTGGAGCGGCAGCAGGAGCGCGAGGAACGCGCGGAAGAGCGTACGAAAACGCAGGAGTTGGAGCTTGCTAAGTTTAAGCTCATGATGGAAACGATAGCGGCCGCTCTTAGCAAGAAGTAAACACGTCGTGACTTTTGGCTCTTTTGTGTTCCTGTTGACTAATGCAAAACACAGAACTAGGAACCGAGTCCGCTGAAAGCTCGTCCCTCACATTCGCTGGACTTGGTCCTCACTCCTCGTTCTCCCGCGCCTAATTGTCTTTGTGCTCCAGGTACTCCTCAAGGGAAGGGGGAGCACACTCAAAGTACTGGCTGATCTGGTTGGGGTATATGCAGTTGCGCATGTTGAGGATGAGAAGCCCGGCCAGGTAGAGGGACCCTACAGGAGCTTGAAGAATCTTCATCTTGCGCTTGCAGTCCAACGTCGAGAAGTAGAGCTTTACCTCCTTGAAAATCCACTCGACAGTTATGCGGACTTTTGACATGGCCTTATTGAACGCCCGCTGCTGTGTTGACAGCGCACTGCCTTGATACGGAACTTCCAAGAACCACCTTCGGCTATATCCAGAATCACCATACAAGCAGTACTGCCTTCCCCCCATCTGCATCAAGATTCCCAATTCTTCGTCGATGCCACTTCGCACGTACAAAGTCCAGTCGTGCCTCCTTCCTTCAACAGGTCCGAACGCATGAAGGATCAATCTGTCAGGGCTATTCACAGCCTGGTACTTCAACCCGTGCTTACGCTTGTGTCCGTTGTAGGCAACCATTTGAGAGTCGTATCCAGTAGGTCTGGCAATTCCCAGTACGGTTCCATCTATAAAACCAACGCAGTTAGTTAAACCACTACTTTTATCGTGTATACGTGTCGCGTACTCTTGTATTCTACCTTGTACGAACGCTGAATCCATTTTTCCAGTGAGCAGTTGTTGACGTTCTTCCAGGAGCTGCTCTATTCCTTCCCAAAAGATTTCAGAGAGCTGAGGAGCATGCTTGCCAAAGAAGACTTCGAGTTCTTTCCAACGAGATGGAGATGCTAACCGTCGTAGTATGATGCAGGTGGACAGCATAGGGTAGACCCATACCTCGAACTAGCTGTATGCGTACGCGAATTAGGCCACGCAAACGCACTCATCATCCGAACGACGTCGTCTTTGGAAAGGCGGAAGAATAGCACGCTGTCCGCATCGCTCAGGCCGTTAAAATTGAAGGAGAATTCTGATGTGGCGATGCGGTTTCGCGCAAGCAGCTGCTTGCGAAGCTCCTCCTCTTTCTGGTGAAACTGCTGCGCGATGATTGTGAGGGATGCTGTGCTTGCAAAGGCTGATGAAGGGTTCGTGCGGCGCCTTCTGGCAAGGAATGACAACACTGTCCCAAGCTGAAGTGCCCGCGCTTGCACTGCTCGCCTCGAAAAGTCGCGCTGCCTTCCCCTTGTCATGGTTGCTGCAGGTTGCTGCAGGAACAAGCAAGCCGCCCTCCCAGCAGTGTACCCTTGGTAATACTCATGGTTCCATCACGGGACCGTCGGCGTAAATCAAAATTTGGGAATTTGTTTCTACGTTTCGGAAACACATTTCCGCAATTGCGGGGGTGATTTACTCACGAGTTATTTGCAGAATTGTTCCAGGCGTAATATCTGAAAGAAGGAAAAAGATACTCTCGCCACCGCAGTTGACTTCTTTGTTGCGGAAGGATGGGAGTCTGGTGAGATCTGGAAGTCTTTTCCAGCCATTTTTAGAATGCCTAAAAGACATACCTCAAAACATTTTAGGGTTTACCCAAAAGAATTCCTGTAACGGATATGACTAAAATTTCACAATTGCAATTACGGCTAGGTGGGTTGGTCATGAGTAAAAAGTGCATTTACCCTAACGATGAAATTAGCAACTTCATAGGAGTATTAGCATTGCAATCAATCACTCGGCAAACTATGGGAAGAGGACATCAGCGCGACCAATCAGTTACCACTACAGCAGAAAAAACAATGAAGTGGAAGTCAGT